TCCCCCCCCCCCCCCCCGCAGGTCTCCGAGCGGTACCGGCACCCCCAGACGGGCACGCTGCCACCACACATCTTCGCCGTGGCCAGCCGGGCCTACCACGCCATGCAGGGCCACCGGGGCGGTGGGCCACAGAACCAGTGTATCGTCATCAGGTGAGGTCTGGGTGGGCGACCAGGCCGGGCTGGGGGCTCGCCAGAGCCAGGCAGGGCTGGGGGTCCAGATGGTGGCCAGTGAACTCTCCTTGGGCTCTCCCCACCAAAGCTTTGGGCGAAGCTCATCTCCCACACTGTTGGTGAGCCCAAACCCAGCAGCCCTTGCCACCCATCGCTCTTCCTCCCAGACAGGAGGGCAGGCAGATCGTGGTCGGCAAACAAAGCTGTTTTTTGTGGAGTGGCTCAGCTGCTGGTGCTGGTAAGGCAGCTAAATATGTTGAGTTTGCTTCTGGAGGGATGTGGCTTTGGAAAGATCTAACCAGCTCTGGGGGAAGCCGTAGGGTGCTCTTCAGTGAAACAATTCCCACTCTGACTGCTGTGATAAAGGTTGTACGTAGTGGAAGGGACCTGTTTTTGCCAAGTGGAGCTTTTCCCACGTATAATGAAAGAGCAGCAGGAAGACAAACAGAAGCTTTTTTTTCCCCCAAAGACCTTTGGGAATCTGGTCAGGGAAAATTTTATTGTCACGGGGAGTTCTGTGCAGTAGAAGGGAAAAAAATGAGCTCGTGTAACCAAAGAGCCTACCAGTGTCATGAGCATTTTACTCCATGATGTCACTATTGTTCTGTTGAAACTGTGCGGGGCAGCAGATAGCATCAGCCAGCAGAGAAAGCCGCAAAACACTGTCTGCCTTTTCTGGGGTTATAGAGAACAGTTTAAATGTCATCTCAGTTGAACTGTTAATTGCCAGCTTGTTCGATTTAATTTTTCATTCTTTTTATTGGCCTTCTGATCATTTTATCAGTATTTTCAGTCTACGTGGTGTGGAAATGACTTGCTGAATCACTGCTGAGAGTTGTGGTGTGACTGGGAGCTGACTTCAAGGGTCCAGCCCCACACATTTCACCAGCCTACAAGCCATCAGCACCTGTGCTTTACATGGAGTGCTCTCACGAAGCTCAAGTGAAGTGGTGACTGTGGAGTCAGCAAGTGGAAGAGGTTCTTCAAGTAGGGCTCTTAGGGATGGAGAACAGTCATAGAATGTCTTCCATCTCCCAAGATGGAAGACAAGAAAGAGTAACTTGTGGGTCTTTGTCAGGAAGTCAGTGATCTGATTGTTTTATACCAACAGTTTGTGGTCTCAGAGGTGAGAACCCGAGTTACTCCTGTGCATCTTGCAACCCGATTAACTGGTCTATGTGTTGCTATCACAGGAAGTTCATGGTTTTGCTCTCTATGAGTGGTGAAACGCTCATTAATGAGATTACTTGGCATGAGCAAAGTTGGGGCGGAGGAGGAAGGCACTCCTTTTAGTCCACAGTTCATCAGAACAGCACAGGACACAGCAGGATCTACTGTCCTTTGTGGTCTCTTTGGTCTCTCCAACTTAGTCTGGGAAGTCTGGGTGGCATGTTGCAGAGGCTGATGTTGAACACAGCAGCTGCCTGCAGGTGATAAAGGCTCATTGCAATCAACTTGTCCCGTGACACAAATTCCACTGGCTCCTCTTGCCCTTTGCAGTCCCATCGGATATTAGTCACAGCCTGGGCATGCTATGGTACAGAACTTGGGTCTCCTGGAGATGACTTTGCTTTTCTTCACAGCCTGGGGCAGTTACACACCTGCCACAGGGAGTGTTTGCAGGACCAGGTGAAGCTCTTGTGTGTTGTGGAGGGTACAACGACAAGTTTGAACTTGCTGGCTGCGTACTGACTGACAGTGCTTTTGTGGAGGAAGGAAGTCACTGAAACAAACAAACAAAAAAAACATCTTACACACTGAGCAGAGGTGCTGTCTGGATGGCATGTTCTCAACTGTCAAAATGGTCTTATTCTCTTTGTGCATATTCAGGTGGTGATGGCCTAATCTGTGCTTTCTGGTCAGGTATCTGTCATAGTAGTTGAGTTAGAGCCACCTATGACAGATACTTGATCCCAAGCACACTGGGAGCTAGAAAGCAGTAAAGCCACACCAGATGCTCAAAGGTCAGGTGTGGAAATGGAGATTGCCCTCAAGAATACCTTCAGCATTTCCTGCATATTTTTCTTTCTATGCATACACTGAAATTCTCTGCCAGTATGATATTGTCAGTCAAGGACAGGTTGTCTCACTGATTGTACTTTCTGCCTCCTGAGAGAGGGGAAAATGTGCTTTCCAAGTGCTGTTTGTTTGACTTGGAGGCGGAGGAGCTGGGTATGCGTGACGGCAGAGTGACGTGCACCTCTGCTGCTGTGGGTGTGCGGGCAGATCTGTGGCCATGTGCCTGTGTTCTCAACCAGCTGATGCATGTAAATGTGAGAAGAGCCTGAGATCTGAGATTGCTGCACTGCCTCAAGTACTCAGTTGTGGATGTGAGATGGATGGATGGGTGGGGCAAATCTCTTTGAAGAATGAGGAAGCTCTTGACACCACCACAGGTGGGGTTGTTGATGTATCAGGTCACTTTCGAAGGAGATTGTTTTCCAGAAGTTAGATATATTTTTTAATTAAGAAGCAGAGTAAATGGTCTGTCCAGTGCACCCCATCCAGAAGTGACAGCATGTACATATCTCTACTCCCTTGCAGATGGGGAAAAATTACCCTGGGGAGGAATCAGGACCTCATGGAACCCACTGTGTGGGTACAAACCAAGGCATGTGTGATGGGGCACCAAGGCATAAGGGGCAGAACTTTACAGCTGCTGGAATTTTCTTTGCTTTTTCTTGGCAGTGGAGAGAGCGGTGCAGGGAAAACAGAGAGTACGAAGCTACTGTTGCAGCACATAATGTACCTATGCAAAGGCAACTCACAGCTGGAGCAGCAGATCCTTCAGGTAGGTCATTACAGGATGGTACTTGAAGATGCAGAAGCAACACTGCTGCAAGACAGCATGCGTTAGGCTCAGACAGCATGCTGGTGAATCACCATTGAACATCAGGGAGCAAAATAGAAGACACATAAGAAGACAGTGGATAAGGATGGTGAAATAGCTGACCACAAATTAGAAGGGCTGGTAGGTCAGTAATGCTCATTGCTGGGCATGTAGTGGTATCTTAAATGACAGAAAATTATTGAGGCACAGGCTCTCCACTGGTCCTGCCAGAAGCCTGCTCCAGCGTGAGCTTCCCACAGGGTCACAGCCTCCTTCAAGCACCCACCTGCTCTGGCGTGGGGTCCTGCACACACTGTAGGTGAATATCTCCTCTACCGTGGACCTGCATGGGCTGCAGGAGGACAGCCTGCCTCACCATGATCTTCACCACAGGCTGCGAGGGATCTCTACTCCAGTGCCTGGAGCACGTCCTGCCCCTCCCTCTTCACTGGTGTCTGCAGAGCTGTTGCTCTCATGTGTTCTCACTCCTCTCTTCTGACTGCTGTTGTTCAGCAATTTTTTTTCCATTCATAAATATGTTACCTCAGAGGGGCTACCACTGTCACTGATGGCTCGACCTTGGCCAACAGCAGGTCTGTCTTGGAGATGGCTGACATTGGCTCTATCAGACATGGGGGAAGATTCTGGCATCTTACAGAAACCACCCTTGTAGCCTCCCTGCTACCAAAACCTTGCCATTCAAAGACTCTGCTGTGCTTTGGGCTCTGGAATCACATATTCATTGAGGTATCTATGGCAGAGCGGAGGTGAATGCCTGTGCTCTGTTGTGGGAATATGATGTTGATATAGCTGTTGGCTCCACTTAGGGTTGACTTGGGCCACACTGCCAAGCTGCTTCTGAACCTGAGCAGATTCAGAAAGCAGGATAGCTGTGTGTGCACTGCGTAGTCCCTGGCCTAATGGGCCCCAAAAGACCTGACTGGCAATGCCAGTAGATATATTCAAGGGCTAAATGTGCACTTTTGGGGTTACAGCGTCATGCTGTAAAGCTGTGTTCAGCAGGCTGTCCAGCGTGTACCCTAAGGCATCGTTGTTGGGGAGGCATTCTTTGCTCAAATGTGGAAAAAATTGCTGTGTGACCTTATTTGCACCCAGTTCACCAAGCTGGTCTGATTGTTCTGTTAGTTTCTTTGTAATTCACTGTCCCAAGCCATATGCTGTCTACAAATTTCAGTAGCTAAGTTACTGTGCTTAACATTTACCGAGTGCCATATTTACCTTGTTTAGTGCAGTATAGCAGTCAAATTATCTAGTGATAGCATGTCAGATGCTTTGTGGAAACCTGTTATATCAACCTTATCTTTTAACAAATGAGTCAGTGATCTGTCTGAGATCAACTGGGCTTGATTGTGCTTATTTTCAGTCATCTCATGCTGCTTGGTCTTGTTCTATTTGCCTCTTTCAGTTCCTTTATCCAGGATATGATAAAATTGGTTCTCTTAAGTACTCATGGAGTGGTTCCTATTCCAGCTGAATGCTGAATAGTAAATGCTAAAGTTAAACGTTTCCCAGCAAGTTAGATTGGATCACTGAATTTGAAGAAAGCCTGTTCAGCTTGCTCACTTGTTTTAGGTAAATCCGTTGCTTGAAGCTTTTGGCAATGCCCAGACTGTGATGAATGACAACAGCAGCCGCTTTGGAAAATACATACAGCTGCGTTTCCAGAAGAACACGGGTAAAGTCAAGGGTGATTACTAGTTTGGGGGATGGTTAGGCACCAGAGGGAGTGGGCTGATTAGCCAGAACTTGTGGAGGGTGAAATTTTGACACTTGACTCCCTGTGGGAAGGGTGTGCAATTAAGTAAAAACTTACAGCAACCACAGCTGTAGGATGAGGCCTGGGTTTGGACGGTGTGCGAGTACAGGAAGGATATGGGGATAGCAGTACAAAGAAAGTATCATCAATACTCCATGGTGCCAGAAGCCTTGGTTGCTGCTAAAGAAGGTGAGCAGACATTCTAAGATGACGGGAGGAAGCATGGAGAAGCCCATTTCCAGGGTGCTAGGCAGCCTAGGGGGTGTTGCACGCAAGAAAGCTATTTTAGACACCAAAAAAGAGATGTGGGACAGCTCAGTTCAGCCCTAACTGTGAAGTTTACCTTGTCACCTTCTTTTGTGCAGTACGAGGTGCAAAGTTGAGTGAGTACCTCTTGGAGAAGTCACGGGTAGTGCAACAAGATACCGGAGAGAGGAATTTCCATATCTTCTACTACATGTTTGCTGGACTGTCTTCGGAGGAAAAGGAGATATATGGGCTATTGGATCCTTCACTCTACAGGTACTTCAAAGAGTAGTTTAGTCTGCATGATGGGGGATAGAGGAGAGAGCAGCATAGTGGAGCCTGATGCCCTCTGGCTCTATCTGTGGAGCTTGGTACAGGTAAACAAATGGAAGCTGGAGTGGGATCTGAATGGAGCTGCATGAAGAGATCATGGAAGCTGGGAGGTCTGGAGTCTCTTCTTTGTTGCATTACCTTGGAAAAGTTTCTTTCCCTTTCACGTCTACTGCTGCTGGTCTGCTTTGTTCCTTTGGGGCAGGACTGGCTGTGCTGGTTGTGTGATGGTTTTGTATGGGATATACACTTTCTCAGGTACATAAGTGGACGATTTGGTACACAGGATGTAGCTCAGCGCTGGAAGCAAAAGTACCAAGAGGTGTGCAATGCCCTTGACATGGTGGGATTCCAAGAACAGGTCAGTTCTGCAGTAATGTAATTTCCATCTCTGCATCCTGCAGGCCTGGGGTTTCTTTCTGGCTCCTGTTGTGAGGCTCAATCCTTCTCTCCTTTCTGGATTTTCCATTTTGCTTCCAAGACACCTGAGTCTGTCAAACTTTGAGTAGAGCCTTTTCCCACAGGCTGCCTGTGCCTTTCCCTCAACTCTTCAGCTTCTGAGGCTTCCAAGTCATATATGCTACATGCTGATAGGTTTTCAATCACCTTTATTTTGTGTTTCAGGAGCAAGTGGACATGCAGGCTATCTTGGCTGGTGTGTTGTCTCTGGGCAATGTGACCTTTGAGCCTGAGGAGAGGAATGGGTCTGTAAAAGTGAGTGAAGCCTCCCGGGGATGGCTGAAGGCTGCAGCGGTGAGTCACAAGAGATGAGAGAAACCTTGTGGGTATGATGCTAGTTCCCACTAGGGCAGGGAGTGTGACTGCTACTGCCAGAGATGGCAGAGGATATTACTGCCTCCGAGTGTGAAGGTTTTTGAAGAACAAGGATTTTTTTCCAGAAATATATAGTTTGACCCCACAACTGCGTTTGTGTTCACTGCTATTCATTCCCAAAGAGGTGCTTCCCAGCTTCTATTTCTCGCGTGTCTAGAACCAATATCTTGCATACAGCAATGCCACACTTGCCTTGTTGGCTTCATGCAAGATAAACTTTTTAAAATTAAATGTTATGTGTTACCAAGTGTGATGATGCATTGGAGAAATTCATGTGTATGGTATCTGAACACTAATTCTATGTTTTCAGCAGATCTTGTCCAGGGATATCACCTTAACTGCTATCAATTTTTCTTGGTTATCCAGAATTAAACTTTCTACTATTTCACATGAAATTATCACAGATTAAGAAGTGTATATTCCCCAGGACCATCCCATTTCTGTGTTGTTAACAAAGCAGGATAATGTATCCATCCCACATAGTAAAATCACAGAATCGAAGATTCTGTGATTCTGTGATTCTGTGATTTTACTATGTGGGATGGATACATTATCCTGCTTTGTTAACAACACAGAACAGAAAAGTGTAACACTTCTGCCTATTCTGTGTCTTTTTATTTTGACCTGTTTGAAATCCCAGCACCCTTGGTTTTTGGTTTCATTCCCATCTCTTTGCCTGTTTCCCTCCCACGCCATACCTGAAACGACCACCTACATCTGTTCAGCAGCCAACTTCGTTTTTGTCTTACTTCAAGTCTGCTCCTTGGTTTTGCCCACGGGAGGGGAATTCCTGTTAAAGCAGTTTTCTGAGGGGTTCAGTTGTGTCTGAGTTCCTGTTGTTTCCCGTCTCTTGTGGGTTTCTGTGACTTCTGATATCTGCTGAAGATCAGAACATCTCAGCACCTGCACAGTCACCTCCATGTGGTGCTGTTCAGTAAGTCATTAAACCGTCCAGCCGGGACTGGCGTGGCTCCCAAAGGTGAAAGGTGGCAGCGCTGGGAGAACAAAACAGAAAGTATCTAATAGAGGACAAAAGTGAGCTTGGTCACTGCAGGGATAACGCAGGTCTTAGAGCGCTCATCTGACTCCAGTGCTGCGAGATGTTAACAGTCATACTTATTTTACAGCAGGGCTCAAAAGCCTTAATCTGAACCATGACCCCATTCCACTGGGTGTTGCAAAACTGCAAGGAGATACAATCCCCACATGTAGAATAAGGTTTTACTATTGACTGTCCTCATCTATTTCCTCTTTCCCAGGGTCAGTTTGGAGTCCAGGAAGATGAACTGTTAAAATGCCTTATTTGTACCATGTCAGTGACCCGAGGCGAGCAGATTCAGCGTTTTCACACCCAGCAGCAAGCAGAAGGTAGGAAACATAATGAATTGCAGATGTGCTGGCTAGAAAGGCTTACCCATATTTGGTGGAAGGGTATCCCCGCACATGTGCAACTGGTTGTGTACAGAGATGTCTGTCTGTGCCCCTTCATTCCCCTTGCACAGAGGCAAGTGTATTGATGTTTATCTGTTTAGTCTCTTAATGACATGTAGGACCATGAATGCTGCTTTTGTTTGATCTCCGGGAGACTGCAGAGATTAAATGAGAAACTAAGGAACTAGCCTTTCTTTCTCTCTCAGTCCAGCCTAGAAGGAAACTGTAGGTATTTGTGCAAAAGAGGGGAAGGCTCCTGTTGCAGAGTGCTGGCAGGGTGCAGAGCTCTAGGCAGTAGATGCAGAAATAACAGAGAATCAATGAGATAGCACAGTGTCAGGGAAGGAGTCAGGTAAATGGAAGTATGTTAAAGTAACAAGGGCAAGGTGTTATTTTGCCTTTCAATAAGAAAAGAAAAATAATCCAAGAGAATCTACACAGAAAGATTCAGTTAAAAGAAAAGATTTACAAAATTTTTTTAAAAGGCATGAAATCCCAGGATTTATAGATTATTACTTAAAATAAATTAAAGAAAAAACTGGAAATGGGGAATTAGCTAGTTCTGTTTCCCAAATGTCTTCTTTTGCATCTCTCTAGACATATCCCATCAGCAGGTGATCATGCAGTAGGTCACATTGATTTGGTCTCCTCCTTAGAACGTCAGCAAGTTTTCCATCAATTGGATCCTTCTCTTGCCCACAGCGTTTGAACACTTGGCAGCTGTGAGCTAGGAGGACCAGAACCATTCAGTTTTCCAAGTAGATCTGGAGCCTCTCGCTTGGTTTAGCAGTGAGGGGATCCATACTCAGACCTGCAGAGGGGAAAATGAGTCTCTGGATATTCTAAAAAGTGGCTGGACTTTTTTGGAAAGGAATTTTTTTCCATTTCAGGTGGTCTCACAAGTGCCTTAGTGTGCCATATCTGATCCTGTAGAAAGATTGTGAAGATTTTGGAATGAAAGAGCTCTTTTTGACCTTACAGAGGGCAAAGACAATCAGGCAGATATCTGATGTTTATCTGATCTTTAAAATAGCTTCATAAACCACTAGATATTGTTGCTGCTTTCCCTGGAGCCCTTCAGTGAGCTACTGTTGTTATCTCTGTGCAGATGCTCGGGACTCCATTGCAAAGGTTGCATATGGCCGCGTATTTGGCTGGATAGTCTGTAAGATCAATGAGCTGCTGGCTGAGAACGTGGATCCTGAGGTGGAACTGAGTGAAATAGGTGAGTTCTGCCTGCCTTGCCCCTGTTCTATCCTCAAATGTGTGTCCCTCAACCACAACAAAGGAAAGGCACAATATGAAGTTCTGCAGAGGTTGCATGCAGGGGTCCATTATCAAAGACATGATCATGTTGGAGACACTAGTTGGCAGCAAGAGGTGTGTAGGGCCTTGGCCAGCTCTGAGCAGTTGGTTGGTCTGAAGAAACTGTGGGGCTGAAATTCTGGGTCCCTCTGGCTTTGCAGAGGAGCCGGGGGTGGGAGTGGGGCTTCTCCTAATTAGCTGTCCAAGGGGAGTTGTGGGAGAGGTGCCCCTGTTGACTTGGCTGGAGTTTCCCTCTGCCACAAGAGCTGAGTAATGGGAGATTTAGTTGTGTATTGGGGTATGCAGCTATCTGCAGGGATGGTCTGCAGGCTCCGTGACGTGCTCATCTTCCCTCTTTTAGGTATCTTGGATATTTTTGGGTTTGAAAACTTTGCAGTGAATCGTTTTGAACAGCTTTGCATAAACTTGGCCAATGAGCAGCTCCAGCACTTCTTCAACCATGTAAGTCTGCTGTGAGTGGTCTCACCTAGTGTGGCAGAAAAAGCAGAGCCCTGTTCTACCTGGCATATGAAGGAGAGCTTGGGGAAAAGCAGGTCTGTTGCCTGGAAGGACAGAAATCATGGAATCACGGAATTGTTAGTGTTGGAAGGGACCTCTAGAGATCATCTGGTCCAAATCCCCTGCTAAAGCAGGAACCCCTAGAGCACATCACTCAGGACTGCATCCAGGCGGGTCTTGAAGATCTCCAGAGAAGGGGACTCCACACCCTCCCTGGGCAGCCTGTTCCAGGGCTCTGTCACCCTCACCAGAAAGAAGTTTTTTCTCATATTTGAATGGAACTTCCCATGTTCCAGCTGGAGCCCGTTGTCCCTTGTCCTGTTGCTGGAAACCACTGAAAAGAGTCCAGCTCCAACATCCTTCAACTCACCCTTTAGATACTTGTAAACATAAATAAGGTCTCCCCTCAGTCTTCGCTTGTCCAGGCTATGGAGTCCCAGGTCCTTGAGCCTTTCCTCATAAGGGAGGTGCTCCAATCCCTTAATCATATTTGTTGCCCTGTGCTGGACTCTTTCCAGTAGTTCCCTGTCCCTCTTGAAGTGGGGGGGATTCTGGTGATTAGTGAAGCAGGGTACAGAGCAGCAACCTTCTTTGCTGTGGTAGGGGAGCCACTGGTGCAGGGAAGAAAAGAACAGAAAGGTCAAATAATGGCCAAAGTTGGCAGAGCAGGGACACTTACACTCTGAGAAGTATTCTTGCTTTGTGAACTGGGATCAGCAACTGACAGGCTTACGGATGGGCATGCAGAACAGCAGTTTCATCTTGTGCCTCTGATGCCATGGGTGAGGGAGCCATGCCTCTGTCCTCTGTTCAGGGTGGGAAGAAAGATGTTCAGGGGTGCACCAACCTCTTCATCTTTTCTCTGTTTCAGCACATTTTCCAGATGGAGCAGGCTGCCTATAAGGAAGAAGAGCTGCCTTGGGAGACTATCACATTCAACAATAATGAACCTATTCTGGTGAGTGAGAGGACTGACAAAAGAGAATTGCTCCATCCAGCCAAGAGAGGAGTCTTGCTCTTGTTAGTATGGAGCGAAGATATACCTGGGAAGAACCACTTCAAAGGGTGGTGTAGGTGAGAGTGGATGCCCTGTACTGCTTTAGATATGTGTAATGTGTCTCCTTTCCCTGCAGAATCTGCTCCTGGCCAAGCCACTTGGGCTCCTGTCTCTTCTGGATGAGCAGAGTGCGTTCCCTCAGGTATGCATGAGATAGATAGGGGTCAGAGAAAATAGTGGGGGGGAATGTAGCGATAAATATTTGGGCTGCAGAGAGAACTCTTATGTTGGAATGTGACTTTAAAGAGCAGGATAAGCAGCAGTGTCCCCATGTGTGACTGATGAGACAGGGCAGCCAGATCAGGGGCAGTCTAATGATATTGGTGTCCCTGTGGAGAGTCAGTGTGTACAGTATGAAACTGCTGCACAGCCAAGGCCACTTCCAGCACTTTGTTTTGCTTCCATGTGTCCTGATCAGGTCTCTGTTGCAGCCTTATGATTTGATTATGAAATCTACTTTCTTGCAGGCAACTGATAAGACGTTTGTGGATAAATTAAACAGCAGCTTCAAGGGGAATTCACACTTCCAGCCAGGCCGAGGCCGTGTTTTGGGTTTCAGCATCATTCACTATGCTGGGAAAGTATGTACTGTTTGAGGGAAGAATGCTGTTGTAACATATGTAGGAGGGAAAAGTGTTGCTTGACAAATAAGGCTTTTAAGCTAAAGAGCGTATGGTCCAACAATGATATAACAGAAGTGATATGTTTCCAGGGAGTTGCCTCCTAGCATTCACTAGGATTTCTGTAGAAGGTATAGGAAGTAGAGGACGCCTGAGGAAAGAGAGACTACCTGTGGGAAGCAAAGAGTATTAGAAGAATCTGCTGTACTCATCATCGTTCTGTTGGAACTCTAGTCCTAAAATAGCCGTTTATGAAATAAAAGCCCCACGTCCACTGTGCAGCATCGAAGGACAATCTAATGGCTTTACCTTTACCTGATGGGTTCCAGAGCAGAGTCGTCACTATTTTTTATGCAGGCACTGAGGAACATAGTGTGAGCAGCCAGGTGAAAGTAGAGGCAATTATTTATACATTCAAATGGTATCTAAGCACCTTGGAGTTTAGGACTATGTATGTAACGTTACTGCCACCAGTTTTGAAAGAATTGGCCCAAATACATTGAACTGATTTGAGATAAATTTTGGAGCAGGAGCAGACATAACAAGTCAGGTCATTTTAATATGCAATTTAGTAATCTCATCCCACCATTGTTGATGAAGTTATTTCTTACAAAAATTCTTTATTGCGTTCTTTCTTACAAAAAATAACACCTGACATAGAAAGGAGGGTGCCAAGCTAGAGATGAGAAAGGAAGGGAGCAAGAGAAACAAGAGGATGCATAACAGGATGTAAGTCTATTCAAAGGGAAGAGGGGGAGAGCAAGGAAAAGAGTAAAGCATAAATCAAAAGTAAATGAAACTTCATAATCAAGGAAAGGAGAACAAGAAAAGGTGTATGTCTCAGTGTTGTGCTGCACTCCTGTGGTTCTAACGCCTCAGTGCCATCTGCAGGGTTCTGTTCCTCAGGATTAGCGTTGGAACAGGGTGCATATCCATTTACAGAATTCACCTGCAAGCAGGTGTACGTTCAGTTTAACGGGTGCTCTTGGCAAGCTGTGGAGATGTTTTTCACAGCAAGCCTGTGAGCGCTGCTGGCCTTGGTGACTTGCTGCCCTTTCCCCTAGGTACAATATGCTGCTGGAGGCTTTCTAGAGAAGAACAGAGACACCTTGCCAGCCAACGTCCGTGGGCTCTTCATCAACAGCATCACCCCCTTGCTCAGCTTGCTGTTCAAAGGCAAGTCCCTCTGCTGTGACAGGGCATCCACATGAAATCAAAGCCCACCTTTCAAGACTTAAGTGTGGGGATGAGGCTCCTGTGCTGTGAATGTGTTTCACAGCAGGGAGACTATGGGAAGGCTGCTGCCTGGAGTGGGGCTGCTGGCATATAGCAGGCTGTCGGAGCTGTTCCTTCCTCCCTGGAAAGCAAGGAGGGTTGTATCTATCCTCTTCCAGAGAATTATCCATTGCTCAGATGTCTTCCCTCAGAACAGATAGCTCGTCTTCTGCAGGGCCAGTGCAGGACTGTCTCCACTGGCCCTTTCCATATGCTCTGTTCTTTCATAGAAATTAAGCTGGACATGGTCATAGCTTCTAGCTGTTCACACTGAAAACAGTGCTGGAAAGCCACAAGCAATGAGTGTAGAGATTATCCTTTTCAAACACATTTTGTTTTTCAGGTACAACTTGTTAAAGAACTCTGAAGTTGTTTATTATTTCTCTCCCACCACTACACTCACTTCTTCCAGTTATTGATAAGCTCTCAGAGTCTTCAAGGCTTCTGTGAAAGTAAACACTTAAAGAAAAGTCAGGTGGATGCTTCCTTGGAATTTGTCTGGCTGAACACAGTGCTTCTGGTGCAGAATTATATTTTTTTTTTTGTCCTATTCAGTCCCACTTTCTGGGATTTACAAGTAACTGATAAATTTCATTTATATTCTCCACTGTGGTTTTCAGCTTTTCTACTCATTAGTATCTTTCATCCTTACCACTTCCACGCTGTTACTGAAGATACTTCTAGTCCCAACTCTTTGAAAGCTCATAAACAGCAGAGATAACTTGTTCTCAGACTGGTTGTCAGGCCCTGGGCAGCTGCTCTAGGTGCCCCTGCTGAGCAAAGAGGTTGCCCCAGCTGACTTCTAGAGGTTCCTTCCAACCTCAGCTATCCTGTGATTCTATGATTCACATGAGACCATTGCCTCGAGGGTGTGCAAGACTGTAATTAGATCCTTCAGTAAATTCAACTTCCTTGAGTTTCTCATCTTGTCATTGAATTAGTTTTAAGCTAAATGACTTTATATAACCTCCCATCTTGATTGCTGTACGTGAGATTCCCATTTGCTATTTGTACTTTTCTCTCTGTTTCTAGATGCCTGTTGATGATACTTCTTTGGAAGGTCATTTAGGGTTGTTCAATAACCTGATTGCCTTTTCTTCTCAGTGGCAGAAAATAATATTGCCTGCATTGTATGCTTCATATATTTGCATTTTCTTCTCCTTTTCGTTAGCTCTTTCCTTGTATTTCCACATGGTGAAACCTAATGCCCTGTCTGTGATTCAGTAATTGTAGGGATACTTGTTTGTGAAGTGAGGTTTTGAATGCTTAGACATGGTTGATTGCAAACAAAGCTACAAATTTAACAATTGTCTCTGTCCTTCCAGCCACTATCTCCAGGACAGGGACACTGATGCCTCATGTGAAAGCCAAGGTATTGCACTTCAGGTCCACATGGCAATGGGTTAATGATGGCATAGTTACCTGATATTTATTATTTGAGAAACTGGCTGAAAATGAGAGCAGACAGGAAATTGGTTAAAAATAAGACCCAGACAGTAATCTGCTTGCAACAAATTCTCCTGGTTTTGGCCAGTTTTTCTGCTTGCTTCTGCTGATTTGTTTAACTTGTCTTCCCTCCCTTTAAATCTATTCTCTTCCCCTTTTTGCCATCTGCCTTCCAGCAGAACTCTTTGGATGGCAGTCAAGCGCTGCTTCCAAGGGTGATCCTTTTGTTTGGTTCTGGTTTCAGGTCATACCAGGAGCAGATGACAAGTTCAACAGCACACGAAAACAGTCTGCCGGAGCTCAGTTCCGGGTAAAGTATTGCTGCTCTGCAGTGCCCCTTGAGATGAGTGCAGTGATGTTTTTGCAAGAGCTTTTGTGAGGCTGCTAAGCGTAGTTATAGCATCCAACATCTAGACAGGGTTTTTTCTGGGTGCCAAGCACAGCTGATCATGGTGGGAGTCACCTGGTTATTGTCAGAGTCTGGGAAGTTGCTGTGGGGTGTAAAAATAGTTCTCACTGGGTGGGATATTGCATGTCGGGCTCTGGCAGTGCTTCAGCTTGCTGGACTGTTGATTTTTCTCAACTCTCACCAGCATTCCCTGATGATGCTCATGGAGAGGATGTATTCTGCCAACCCCCACTTTGTGCGCTGTATCAAGCCCAACAGCCAGAAGGAGCCAGGTGTGGTGGACAACCAGGTGGTGCTGCAGCAGGTGAGGAAAAGCAGTGTTCTTCTGCCATGTCTCAGTGGGGAGGGCAGACCTCACCAAAAGGCTGTGGAGATAGCTGGAAGCTGGCCAGTCTGAGTCTCCCCTTGCGAGAGAAAGAGCAGGCCCACTTTTTGTGCATGTAGGTTCTGGCTACTTGGCTGGTTTTGTGTCAGAGACTGCTAAGTCCAGGTTTTGCAGTCTTAGTTCTCTCCTGTTTCTTTTTCATGAATGCAATGAGATCTGCATGTCATATACTTTGCATGTCTTTACATTTCCTGGATGTGGACTGGTACAGACAGTACTTCTCCATGAAAAATGATGCTTCTTGAAAGAAACTGTTCTCAACTGTCAGCCAGGGCAACTTTGAATAGAAGCCGAGATGGGATCGCTTTGACATGAGCTGATATGTGCTGATATGACTGTCTTTGGATATTGTGTCAGGTCTGAATTCCAGACACTTCAAAGAATACTGAAATTTTTAGAAGAGTTCAGAAAGCTCTGTGGCCTGGTTAATATATATAACAAAGGAGAGGATTAAGAGGGAAGTTCATCCATGCCTCAAAGTACTTCTGTGTCCAGATTTGGAAGTAAAAGGCTGTCCTCTAAGGGGCGTAGGCAAATTAGTATCCATGGGTGGAAGGTGAAGTTATTTCAGTCATTGTTTTTTATGGTTTCCAGCTTTTAACTGAGACTGGTTAATCATCAAAGTTACAGGAGGTGATAAATTCCATCTTTAACCAAGGAAACATTTTCAGAAAGAAGCTTTTTCATTTTGAATTGAAGAAGTTTAGGGCTGAATGAAGGAGTTTCTGACTCCAGAGGAGCAAACTGGTGTCCTAATGCCCTGTTTCTATTTGTTTCTCTTTGTGGTGCTGCTTCAGCTCCGGTACAATGGACTGCTGGAGACAATCCGTATCCGGAGAGATGGTTTCTCCTGGAGACCCTCGTTTGAGGAATTTGCTGAAAGGTTTGTTAAAACCTCTGAATATTCTGTGTTAGATATTGTTAAGGAAGTGACCCTGGTAACCAGATATGGGCAGGGAGTGAAACTGCCTATTCAAAGTTATCATGCCCGAGATCATGGGGTTGTTTGCTGTGGGAGGCTGAGTGGGAAAGACAGTAATTCATTGTTGTTTACTATGAGGGTGACATGGATCACCTCAGCACATCAAGGATGGTGCTCTTACTTTGCTGAATTGATTTGTTTTTCACAGATATGGAATTCTTCTAATTAAACCAGGTGTTTCCCTCACAAAAGAAAGGTAGGAACCCTTCCTTTGTTATGTGCAATCCAGTTTGCTCTTCAGAGACTTTTGCTCTCAAGGTAGTATAGCAAACTGAGTAAAAGGAACAAAGTGAGGATGGGGTATTGTGGTAATGGGGAACACGAACTCCTAGGCAAAGACAGTCAGTGGTTAAAAAGCATTTGGTACAATGATGAAGGAAATCTTTCCAGAATTGCTGTGTAGCAATTCAATTCAGTTGCTACAAAGCTGTGGTATATTGTGGAATGAGAATTGGCTAAGGTACTCAATTTAGGGAGTCAGTATGGCAGGGGCTCAGCACAGCTACCAGGTGCCTCTCCAGGCCTTTTCCTGATGGTCTCATGGGAGAAGAAGAAGAAGAAAACAATTCTGAGCAAACAGCCAGCACTGAGTGCCTTCCAGGCTACAGAGGATATTTCTGGTCCAAAATTTTTTTATGTGTATGGGCATAATATACCCTAAGCACTTTCAGAACCTGACTGCTCCTTACACACACGAATGTTCCCCCAGCACTGCAGTCTTACCCTGTCAGCTTTTTCCTTCCTACATCAAAGAGGGCAGCAACTCCCCACTTCCTCTTCTCTACTTTCCCAGTCCCTTCTTCCTGCCGTGGTCAACTGTGACTGATAGTGAGAATGAAGGGTGTAAGGCAGCCAGCTGAGGGTTTTTTTAGCCTTTTAAGAAAAGGATTTGAATGTACTCCTGGAAAATTCGCTCCTGGCAGTAGCTCCTCCAGCCTTTATGGAGCTTCCTTGGAAGTTAAGGACGATTCTGAATTAAAAGGAATTGCAAACCCAGGTAAGGTCAAGAGAGTCTCACAGATGAGAGAGAGATGATGGTGAACAGGCAGCATGGTGTGTTTTCAGACACAAAATTCATAGGATACATTTGAGACAAGAGTTGCCATGGATATAGATTGTGGCACAGTGGAAGCTGGCTGAGATAGAAGGAAAACCACTTCTGCTTTGCTGTGCAAGATATTAGCAAAAGGTGTCACTACAATTTCACAGCCTGGATTTGCAGACAGAGGGAGGAAGCTGTCTGTGTGGTGCAGCAAGAGTACTGCTTTCATTTCCAAGTGTTTGGGAATCTTCTGGAGTGACCCAAATTTTATTACTGGAGTCTGAAAAATGAAACTGAATTCATTTTCAGTGAAACAAGCTTTCTCCCGGAAGTCTTGCTGTGCTGACCTTGCAACTTGTGTGCTCCAAAGGGCTTGGAAATTAAATGAAGAAAAACAGTTCTGAGAATAAAATAAGCTCTGCAGAACTGCCTCCCAGGGAGTTGAAGGAAATCTGCCTCTGGGAACCCCTTTGCTGATGTTTCTGAATGTCATCCTGCTGCACCTCAAGGAGTACCACAGATTGACAGCCAGTTACTGAATGTGATCGGGTGACAGGGGACAAAGAATGCAATGCAGAATCTTTGAGACACTTCCTCTCCATTTATACACCTAAAGCCACTGGCTGCATAGTGTTCATTTTGGGTGGAAAATTATTTATTTCACTTTTTTCCTCTCTTTCAGCTGCTTGGAGATACTCCAAAGTACAGAGTTGACAGGCTGGATATGCGGGTAGGTGTGGATTACTGTTGGTGGGAATGGGGTCCTGAACTGCAGAGTTTATCCATGTAGACTGTTGTCTGGTTCCCATTCAGGGAGCCCTTTATGGCTATAGGAAAGGCCTGTCTAAAGGACGATGGATGCAGATTGAGACAAACTGTGTTTCTCACTGCTTCTTTCTCTCCCCAACTTCACAGAAAGTCACGACTTTTCTTTAAATATTGGCATCAGGAACAGCTGGCGAAGTACGTGGAGCGACTGGAAAGAGCAGCAGTTGTCATACAGAAAGGTGAGCACTGGGGCAGGAGAGTCCCTCAACTCTGATCTCAGACCAGAGTGAGGAGAAATTTCTCCGGTCCTTGCTCCACCATTACAGAAAGACAGGCCAGGGACCATCTCTCTGTCAAGGCCCCGCGGAGTCAGAGTGCTTATTGCAGATGTCTGCTTCCTCATCAGACAGGGTGAGCCTTGGAAAGGGAAAGCACGTGTGCAGGAGCTGAGCAGGGCAAGCATATGGTTTGGCTTCATCCCGAGATCTGGGTAACCATCCTCTGGAGTGAGGGCTTGTTTGTGAGTGGTGTTGAACTGAGGAGAGGAAAAAGAAGCGAAGCAGATCTCATTCCTACTTACACAGATGGGCAGGGAGGGATGAAGTTTTGTTTTGGTGTGGGTTTTTTCATTCCTTTCCAGGTAGAATCTGCTCTGGCAACTTGTTTCTCCAGAGCAGGCGCTGTAGGCAGTTTGGTATTTCCCTCTGAACAGGCTCCATGAGGACTGTGCAACCAGGAGGAGGAGACTGTCCTCCTGCCTGGTTCTTCTCTGTTGTACTTCTCTTCTGTATGGGTTGTTGCACTGCTGAAGCATCTGAGCAGCTTCCAGCTATGCACTGTACAGGATGACAAACATCAGACTGTCACATGCTGTGCCTTGTTCTCATCCACGGGGAAGATGTGTGGGTAGTGGGAAATGAGAAAGTGTGGCTTTCAGTCCATGTGCTTTAGTACCTGGTAGAGTAGGCGGGGTAATGCAATGTCACTAGAGCTCCTGATGAACCCTGTGATGGCTGCTTATGGGGAAGGTTATCCTGTGGGCTGACATCAAGGAGACCCCATCTCCTGCAGGGAAGAGCTCTGTTTTTACTGAGTGCTGTCTCAAGGATACTGGGGAGACAGATGGTTCACAGAGGACCTTCTGTGAGACTTTGTTTGCTAAGTATCCTGTACCTTGGCATTAGAGTTGTTAGCTTAGATCTGTAATTTGATTTTTTTTAAACCCATGATCTGACAGCTTAGAGAGTAGAAGACAGTTCTCACATGTTTTTGACTGCCTGCTCAAGTAGAGTCTGTATTGCTCTATATTAACGTGATTGAAATGTTGAGGGCTTTGCATGGGGTGAAGGAGTATTACCTAGTGTGCTTCCCCTAGGGAGTGACAAAGCCATGATGAACACTTTTTGTCTAACCACAGCTTTCCTCTGACTAGTTTTCAGGGGATTCAGATGCAAGAAGAGTTACCTAAAACTGGTGGCTGAGCTGAGAGCTCAGGCGCAGCAGCTACAGGAGGAGGCAGAGAGAGAAAGAAGCCGGCAGCTGGCGATGGAAGCAGAGGCCCAGAGTGAGTTCCTCCCAGTCCCACTGCCCCTGTGCCTGGCCACGTGTGACATGGTCACCTTGAAGTGCTGTAAACTCCAGGTGATGACAGCCTGCCCTTGGCTCTCCTGGGGCTGGGGGGTCCCCTAATGTGGTGGGCAGGGAGGTTTCTGCCATTCGAAAGTGCAGCTTTCTCTGCGGGGAGCAGGAGCAGCATGGTGAAGGTCGTTTCCCTGGCTGTGTTGGGAGGAGTGCCAAGCTGTGTCTCTTCCACACGCTCTGTGCAGCAGAGCCTCTCCCTGTCCTGGGCATGTGGACGGTGGATCTCCTGGATCTTGGATGCTAGTTTTCATCTACTTCCTTTCTGTTGTTGCAGAAAGAATCTCCCTTCCGGTACCCATGCCACGGAAGAGGCGCCCTCAGCCTTGTCCCCATCCTCCTGATAAGTTGTCACAGCCACCAGTGCCACGGCCACGCAGCAAACTAACAGAGGTAGCAATGTTTTCTCTGCTTGGGGACCCTTAGCCAGGTGTGCTGGTTCCCTGCTTCATCTACTCTCTGCTTGCACATGTTCTCCTGCATGTGGTCACAGGAGAACATTGTCATCCTTATGAAAAGTGAGAAAGTCCTTTCCTACTGTGTTTAACTAAAATGTGTGATCAGGACCTGTGAGGAACTGAAGCAGTGTTCAATAGTTTGTCTAATCTTGTCCTAAGGGACTCAGAAATGGGATCACTACCAAAGGGATCCCTTCAAAGGTCCCCTGCCTTTGGCATTGCTTTCATGCCCGTTTTCCCCTCTCCCCGCTTTCAGTCTACTCCTTTTGATAACTTCTTGGACCCTTCTGTGCCTCGCCCTGTTTTGGGGAGGGACGAACAGACCGGAGAAGAGGGAAAAATGAGGAAATGCAAAAGAGGAGCAACTCTCCGCTGGTTCAAAGAGACACAGGCCAAGAAGGTCATACAGGATGATGGGGCTTTTCCGAGCTGGCTTCATGGGATGATCAGCCGGAGGTGAGTATGCTGGACCCGGTGGCTGCAGGTTGTATTTGCCAAGATTTGGCTCCTGCATAACCTTTCACTTTTAGGCTGTGAGCTTCAAACCATTAGGGGGAAGCTTGGAGCTCCCCATCACAGGATGCAAATGCTGAAACACATGGATCCAGAGAAAGACTGTGGAAACTCATAGGAAATAAGTCCACTGTGGGTTCCTAAATACAGACCCTGGGCAGGGAAGGGAGGCTGGGAAGGTACTTGGAGACACAATGCACGCATGCTTTTACCCTATTCTGGACTGTTTGTTGAGATCTCATATGGAATGAAGATGGACTTTTGTCTGAGTCATTATGACTGTGCTCATATCTCTCAATTTAGGTCAGGAGGAGACCTTAGTTTACAGCAGGAGAATACAGAATTCAGTGTACACTTATTTAAAAAGTATTAAGAGGTGCTTTAGTGAGTACCCATAGAAAGCTTCCCCCAAAGCCCTCTGATATGGGAAAAGGAAGGCTTTTTGTTCATACCTCTGCCCATCTAAGGACAGTGCAGCATATGTGGCATTTACATCTCTGTAGGCTGGGAGAGACATCCACAAAGCCTGACCTCCTTACAGACCGTTTTATGAGACTGTGAACTCTTGAGCTTTTTTGGGAAAACCTTTATTTAAAATGCTTGAAATCTTGCTACTGGATATGCCTCACACGTCACTCTCTTGGCTGAACCAAGCACGACTTTCCAAGCAGTGTGTTAATCAGAGAAATGCTTATTATACCAATGATCAGATAAGAGTAAGACAGCAGGGTCAGCAGGTAGACAACAGAATTTCTGTCTGTAGTCTCCCCTCTCTGGAAATTAGTCTGTGGTGCTGCATGCTTGCTAACTGCCAGTGTCCCTTATTTGGTGGGATTTGTGTGTGGGCATTGCTGCCAAGCATGCCAGCCATTTGAACACCGTTATCATCTTGTTCCAGTTTGTCACTTTTTTTCTGTTAGAGCTGCATGTCCCCTTCAGTCTTACTAGATCCCAAGTCACTGGGTTTTGTCAGCTTATCAGTGTGAACGTTACTCAGAGACATTACACAGCACGTTGCTGAGTAAAGGACACTACAGTAGCTGACAGCTTTCTGGTAGCTGCATTTTTTTTTCTTTTGTTAAGATAATTAACAAAGCCCCCACCAGCATTAATGCTGTTGTCCACTGAGCCAAGAATGTAGGAGAGGAACTAGCATCTGGCAGATAAAACTAACTGAATTTGAGTACAGGCTAGCCATGAGCACTTCACAATGAAGGATGTAGCAGATCCTTCCCAGAGACTCTGAAGTTTAGATACTTTTTAAGTGGTATTTCCTGTTGCTGGATTTAAGTCTCCATACAGTAGCATAAGGTCAGCCTCTTGTAAGAGAGCAGCCAGAGCAATCCCAAATTGTGCTGATGATTTGCAGTCACCTTCAGCCTGGAGCAAGGCACGTGACAAGCACAAAGTGGTGCTTTGTCTCTTGGGCAGAGTTTGGGGAAGACCTCCATCCAGCAGGAAGTTTAGAGAGGCAGAGTGCTGTAAGCCAAGTTGGTGTTTATCCAAGGCTTACCTTGTGCCAAGCACCAATGCCCCACAGCATCCTGACTTCTTCTGTCAGCCCAGGAGTGCAGGAAATGCACATGTGCATGGCCTCCTCCTCTCAGCCAGACTTTGCAATGGGCTGCCTGCTGGAAGGCAGCTGCTGTTGTTGCACTCGTCAGACTGCTGCAGCAGGTTTGGAGCAGCCCTGCTTGGAGAGGCTTTGGCTGAGAGTATTGTGTCTTCTCAGCCTGCTAATGCCTCCCAGCAAGCCCAAGTCTGGAAATCTCTTATCTAGGAACACATGGGGCAGGTGCTGGCCTCCCTGTGGACTAGGAGCACTACTGTGGTAGCACATGAGACAGGATGAGAATCCCTGCACTGAAGCAGCTGCTCACAGTCTGCTTAAAAAAATCTTTCCTGCTTACAGGGAAGCTGAAAACTTGCTGATTGACAAGCCTTTGGGTTGCTTCCTTGTACGGATCAGCCAGAGCCGACCAGGCTACACCCTGACATACAGGTAATGTAATCTTTTTCCTTTCAGAGAAATAAAAAATAAGGTCCTAAACTGACCTTTGCATGGCTGGAGGAGTTAACCTCCTCCACAGAGGAGTCCATTGAGGATGATGCTCAGCCTCTCCTGTTGTGGATCCCTCAGGCAGTTTGCAGTAGCAGACAAGACACTGCAGAATTGGTCTTTTACCAAAAACCAGTTCTCTTTGTGGGTGGGGTGCTGCGGCTCCAAGGGTGCGGGTCCTGTTTAGGCTGTGCTATATGGCTGAGTGGGCAAACCAGGCTGGAGGAAGCAGTGGCTGGAACAGAGGAGATGAGTCTAGAGGAGGGTCTGAGGAGAGGCAATCAGAGTGCTGCAAGGGCATGGTCTTTGTACAGCCTCAGGCAAGGAGTAGGGCAGAGTTTTAATGTGGACAGCAACATGGGAGGTGGTACAGTCTGCTGGGATTTGTATCTGGCTGCCAGGGTTCTCCCATCACAGACTTTGGGGGAATTGCTGCTCTTCCAGCACCTATTGGCATAGCGTGTGATGCTCTGAGGTGGTGAATCTCCTACATCTTTGTGATATTCGTTACTGTGGCTCCTGATCACTTCTTGCACTTGAGACAAGTGCAGAAAGCAATGACATGGGCCCCGTGCCATCACTATTTCTGTCTGTCCATCTTCCCAGGGGCGAAGGCCGCTGCAGACACTACATGATTGAGATGCAGCCCAATGCACGCTATGTCATCCTGGGGGAAGACCGGGCCCACGCCTCCCTTACCGAACTGGTTCGGTATCACCAGACTGTGGGCATCCAGCCCTTCATGGAGATACTGACTGTTCCCTGTGGGCAGGTGAATGTCGAGGATCTGCAGCCGGAAAAGAGGATGGGGCATGGACCGTGCCCTGAGCAGGCAGAGTTGCTGCAGCAGCATCTTTCTTTTGTGTTCCTGTTATGGGTATCCCATTCTGCCAAGTAGCTTGGCCACTTTTGCATTCACTAGCTGGGCACTGGGGAGTCCTGGGGTGGGGGGGAGGCTCTGGTCCTGGTGGTGGATTCAAGGGACAGGTCCCTGTCCCCTGAACATCAGCAGTGGTCACAGCTGGGTATTCCTCTTCGTTGTGTTGTTGGGGTGTGTGGAGAGTCTGCAAGGCACTGCTGAATCTATTCTTCCCTCGCTCAGAAAAGTAGTGAGAGTTTGGATTATGAAGATCTGGAGTGCCTCAGGCTGGGTCCACCAGAAGCCGAAGGAGAGGCCCACCCAGAGAAGCAGCCCTACCCCTCTGGTCCTTCCACCAGCCAACGGGCTCTGCAGTCAGGAGCAGCCGCGGTTCTCACACACATGTGGTTCAGAAGGAACAAGAATTCCCAGAATAAAGAGAGCCAGGACAAGAGTAGGACCAAGCCGAGCTCAGTCAAGAAGGGCAGCCAACGAGCTTTCCCTCGCCTCCACTCTTCCATACGCCTGGCGATGCAGGAGATCCAGCAGGTGAGCTGGGGCATATCCTCTGCTGAGCCTTGCCACCCATGGCCACCCTGGGATGTGGGGAGCTGCCCTACTCAGGGGCAGCAGAGAGGAGGTTTCCACAAGGAGTACTCTGTTTCCTAGCTCCTGGGTCACGGGTTTTATTTGGGATCAAGACTGTTCATTGGAAGTGCTGGTTTGGGGGAGACCCTGGGAGAGGTTTGCTGAGATGCCCAAAGAAAAGTCCACAACAGAAGGGGCTGTGATGTGGCCAGTGTCCCAGTCACTGCTCCCCTAATGCTATCTCTGCTTCTCACTGCAGTTCTCTTCCACTGCCTTGAACACCTCTGAACAGAACGGCTGTCAAGCTCTCTCCATTCAACATGTAGAGCCCAAGTGACACGGTAAGAGGAGACAACACGCAGGAGGGCAGACAGCAATTGCAGCTTCTCTGGGAAATGGAGGAGCAAAGGGGCTCTTCCTTTTCTGCTCCACTTGGAGTATCTGTTGGCCACCAACTACCTGGAAAAAAAGCAGGAAAAACAAGGCAGTGACCAGCTTTCATTCCAGGACTTCAAAAAGACCAGGAAAATAGGAAAAATCGGCATACAGTTGGGTTCCCAGCACCTACGGCACCCAGTGTGCTTGCAGTACAACAACAAGGCTGCTGGAGGGAGCTCACAGTTTGTTAGAGACCTGGGGCTGGAGTGGATGAGGACTATCAGGAAACATATCTGCACGCTACAGTAGTCAGCTGCAGTGGCTTACTGTTGTGGAGAGAGGCACTTATCAGAAGTGGGTGCTGGGCAGAGAGTCCTGGGGGTCTAGCAGATGCAATGAGCCGAAGCCAAGGCTAAGAACATAAGAAAAAGCAGCAGTCTGAAGACTTTAAACAAGGTCTTAGCAGCTGGAAACACAGCTGGTTACTGAGGCTGTAGTTTGCAGGGTGTGTTTGTTACAGGAGTATATTGAGTGGGCCAGGAAGGGCTGTCTGACACGGTTGGCTATGCCCAATGCTCTAGTTGTCTGAAACATCTAGTGGAGGAGCAGCTCCCCCATGCAGCCAGTGGGTAAACCCATGTCCCATTCAGTTGCTGAAGGCAGGAGGAAGCAGTAGTGGTGCTGTTGTACACCTCTGGAAAAATCTGGATTTTTGTCAGCTGGGAGTGGAGCGGGATCAGAGGACCATGAGGTTGGCTGCAGACCCGTGGCGGGGATTGCACCCTTTCACCAAGACTGATGAGTTCCCAGCATGGTTCCACTCCCAGGAATTCATGTTGGAGCAAAGCTCTTTAGCCAGGGCCTGTCTTGTCTTCCTCTTGATGGCTGAGAAAATCCTCTCCCTGAAGTGTCTGACTCAGTTGCTTCATTCCTGCACGTGCGTATTGATGCGCGCAGGGGCTGCTCCATGTGTCTGAGGTTAAGCAGAAGAAAGGGAAAACCTGTGGGATCTGCAGAGATGACTGCAAGTGTGTCGTACTTGGGTTGCTGAATGGAGCCCTGTTAAATCCTCCACTGAGTTGTTTCTTGACTTTTTTGCAGGTCCGAGTGGCTGACTCCTGTCCTCCTGCAGTGCTGCTGGGCCTTGCCTAACTGGGTGAACATATCTGGACATACAGCAGCCTTTTTTCTTCTTTCTTTTTTTTTTTTTTTTTCCTTTTTGTTTTTGCTGCACCCAGCTGGCCCTGTGCCTTGAGACAGGACTGCTGCAGAAATGAACTTCCATCAGCGCTCATCCAGTCTGGATGGCAGAGACTGCAGTATCTGGACCAGGCTCATCCTGGCGGAGGGGAGAGGACAGGAGCAGTCATGCTGTACGGGGATACGACAGTGCCAGATGGTCTGCCTGTCAATATTTCAGCATGCCTGCAGCCCCCCTCGCCTCACACTGTTAATAGTCACAAACTGTATATCTCCCAACACCCTGTTCTCTCACAGGTACCTGTACTGATTTCCTACCTCTTTCTCTTCAAGTCCTCTGTTTTGGTCCTGTGTATCCACTGCTCTGGGGGCCAAAGAAAGCTCAGCTTTGGAAGTATGGACTGGAACTGGTGTGTCCTTTCTGTTGAGCACAGGAGCACAGAATCACATGGGGTTGGAAGGGACCTCTGGAGATCACCTAGTCCAACCCCTCTGCCAAAGCAGGTCCACCCAGAGCAGGTTGCACAGGAACGTGTCCAGGCGGGTTTGGAATGTCTCCAGAGAAGGAGACTCCACCACCTCTCTGGGCAGCCTGTTCCAGTGCTCTGCTATCCTCAAAGTAAAGAAGTTCTTCCTCATGTTTAGAAGGAACTTCTTATGTTCAAGTTTGACGTCTTGTCCTATCCCTGGGCACCACTGAAAAAAGACTGGCCCCATCCTCTTAACACCCATCCTTTAAGTATTTATAGGCGTTGATCAGATCCCCCCTCAGTCTTCTCCAGACTAAAAAGACCCAAGTCCCTCAGCCTCTCCTTGTAAGAGAGATGCTCCAATCTCGCCTCTCATCATCTTTGTGGCCCCTTGCTGTACTGTCTCCAGCAGTTCCCTGTCCTTCTTGAACTGGGAAACCCAGAACTGGACACAGTGCTCCAGGTGGGGCCTCACCAGCACAGAGCAGAGGGGCAGGATGACCTCCCTTGACCTGCTGGTCACACTGTTCTTGATGCACCCCAGGATGCTGTTGGCCTTCTTGGCCAGAAGGGCACATTGCTGGCTCATGGTCATACCAGGACTCCCAGGTCTTTCTCCTCAGAGGTGCTCTCCAGCAGGTCAGCCCCCAGCCTGTACTGGTGCAGGGGGTTATTTCTCCCCCAGTGCAGCACCCTACATTTGCCTTTACTGAAGTACATCAGGTTCCTCACTGCCCAACTCTCCAGCCTGTCCAGGTCTCGCTGGATGGCAGCACAGCCCTCCGGTGTGTCAACGACCCCTCCCAGTTTTGTATGACCAGCAAACTTGCTGAGGGTATGCTCCATCCCCTCATCCAGGTCATTGATGAGTATATTGAAGAGGACTGGACCCAGTACTGACTCTTGGGGGACTCCACTTGTTACAGGTCTCCAACTAGATTCTGTGCCCCTAATAACAACCCTCTGAGCTCTGTCTTCCAGCCGGTTTTCAATCCACCTCATTGCCCATTCCTCTAATCCACACTTCCTAAGCTTACATATGAGGATGCTGTGGGAGACAGTGTCAAAAGCCTTGCTGAAGTCAAGGTGGACAACATAGAGCACTTGAGCACTTGAACAGGCACTGAGACAAAGCGCAAGCAGATCTTTCTGCAAGGGAAGTTTCAGTGCACAGGAAGTTTCCTTGCATCAGTGCACAGGCAGGCTGCTCACTGGTCCTTTCCCAGAGCTCCAGTTGGGGAATTGTTGGCAAAACACCCTTGTTCATCCCGGTTGGAATCATTGCAAGTCTGGGCGGGACAACATCCTGCTTGCCTCTGAGAGTAGAGGGCTTGCAACATACAGGACCATGCTACGTGTTACATATTTCCTATTTTGAAATCAATCTCTTTCCTTCTTATAAGGAGAAGCTCGGTGTTTTCTTTTGTTTCCATTACCTGCAGTCAGCTCGGCCACGGACTGCAAACGGAGGAGAATGGCTAACACCTCTGGGGTGGACATGGGGTCACATGAAGTATCTCAGTGGGGAATCTGAAGGCTCATGGGCCAGTAATCCTGGTGTGCACAGCACTCTCCTACCGTGCCAGCCTTCTCTCCTGCATGTGCCATGGGTGAGACCTCCCCTTTGCAGTCTCAGCAGGACCTGATCTCTCCCTCTGGCAGGTCCCCCTGCGTTTTGCTCCCCCTGGGAGGCACGACTGTGGGGACAAGTCCAGGCTGCACAGGCCAGCACTGTGGCCAGCCTGTTAAGCTGACTCCTGTGATGCAGGGTGCTTGTGGCCATGTCTCAGCACTGCCTTTAGCTGTGGGTCTATTCTTCTTCCTTTTGCTCTCTGGAGCACAGGGTCACAGGGCAGCTCTGCTGGGGACCAGAGAGGGAAGCGGTGGTTGTTGTAGCCTGGCGTCCTGGCTCTCCCCAGTGCTGCCTTGCAGCCTTAACACACCTTTTCTCTTCCTCCTGCTGGGTTTTGGCAGCTGCTTTGAGGCTGTTCAGGACAGAACCAGTCCAGGCAGTCAAAGGCTGCTGTTTGCAGAGTCTTCCTGGCTGAGCCCAGGGGCGTTTTGCTGGGCAGCCTTGGCCCCTGTGCTAATGTTCTCCTTGGCTTCCTCCACCGCTGGGCAGCTGGAAAGCCTGCCTTCTGGGTAGCACGTAGAACCACCTCATGGCCAAAATGTTTCTAAGAACTCACTAACACGCAGAACTGAGGCACAGGAGAAACGCATTTCAGTAACGGACCTGCTCTCTCTTTCCTTGTTCCTGTGCCACAGAGCACGGTGTAAGCCCAGGGCTAAGATCCAGCTGCAAAACACAGTTTGCTCATCTGGCTGGCAGGGATAATGCTGAAACAAGGAGGATGGTGAAGAGCTTTGCCTGAGCAGAGGCCGCCAGTACCCCCTGGGTACTGCTGCAGGCACAGCTCACAAGTGACGCTGAGGGGGGAAACAGCATCAGGGGAGCATCAGGAGACTTCTCTGGTGGCTGCGCGTGGCACATCTCCTGGCATGCTTCACAAAACCAGAGCAGATCCATCACAGATTTCTCCTGCCCCTGATTTGATGGGTGGGAAGTAGAACTGCAACCGGGGCAGCCAGGAGCCTGGCACGAACCTGGACAGCATGCCTGGGCTGGCAGGTCAGGTTTCTTCTATCTCTGCTACGTCTGCTTTTTTTGTGTGACACAAGAAGAAAAAGGGAGGAGAAGGGTGAGAAGCTGCTGGGCTGAGGAGGTCATGCAGCAGTGGAGGCATTGGCATGGTTTCTGCAAGGCTCTTGTTTGCAGGAGCAAACGCTTGATGCTCCACCTGTACGCAAGGTCTAGCCCAGCTTCTGGAGAGCAGTCTGGCTTGTGCTGGGCTGTTGTGGGAAGAGATGTGTGCCAGCAATGGGGAAAAGCTGGGAGAAGAGCTAGGTAATTAGTGACAGAACGAGAGGGAATGGCTTCAAGCTCCAACAGGGTAGGTTTAGATTGAACATTAGGAAATAATTTTTCACCGAAAGAGTGATAGGGCATTGGAACAGGCTGCCCAGGGAGGTGGTGGAGTCACCGTCCCTGGCTGTGTTTAAGGGCTTTTTAGATACAGTGCTAAGGGACATGGTGTAGGGGAGGACTTTGTAGAGTAGGGTAGATGGTTGGACTCGATGATCCCAAGGGTCTCTTCCAACCTGAATGATTCTATGATTCTATGAAATACGATAGGCTGCTAAAGTTTACAAAGTGCAGATTTGACACCTCTAGCATGGTCTTTGCCTGCTTCCATCTCATAGCTGAAGTCAGGCACTGAATCTCCAGCTCTGTGTGAGAGCACGAGTTATGCTAAAGATGTCTTTTTTCTTCTCCCTGAAGATGGTCTTCTCCATCAAAGAGGGAGCAGCAGCACGAGCAACCCTATCTCATTTCCTACGTCAGCAGCTTCCCCTGTGGCACCTGGAAAGTCAAGCCTGAGAAAAAGCACAGAGCAAACTGTGTAAGCCTAAGCGTGAAAGGCCGCTCGTGTTATATCATGTTATATTTCAGCTAGCGTGAGATGAAATGAATGGGATGTACTCGCACAAAAGGCAAATAACAAGTGGTATCGGGCTGTGTCAGCAGGGGCAGCACCCAGAAGAAGGCCTGGCAGCCCGCAGATCCCCTCAGCACTGCATCTCAAACGCCCAGCCCTGACATCTCTTTGTCTCCTGACATTCCTCTTTTCAGGCTGAATTAAGCAACAGGTTGCACGCCCCATAGCAGATGAGAGATGTGCATTGGGATTCCTCCAGAGCTCTTCGATAAAACCCATTTATGTCACGGACTGCTGTCGTGGTTTAGGCTGGATTGGCCAATCAGAATGACAGATGGCCCTTCCCACCCACACCCCTGTCCCCCTAACCCCCCCTGCAAAGAGAGGAGGGGAAGGGATAAGGAGATTTATGTGTCATAGATTTGTTCTGAAACGTACCCTGCTGAGGCTTTCACTGGAAGCATGTTGCCTTATTTTTCCCTGCAAGAGGAAGATGGAGCATGGGAATTTCCCTTCGCTCCTCACTAGTGTGAATAAGTCACTCTGCTTGTCTGCTGTGCCTCTCTCTTCTCCAAATGGTCTTTCATGCCTCTGTTATCTGTTTGCTCTGTGGCAAGCTTTCAGTGTGAAAATGGTCTTTTGTTTTGGGATGGTTTAGTGATTTTTTTTTTTGTTTTAGTTTTCCGGCTTATCACTCTGACAGAGTCTGTTATGGTTTTCTGTTTAATTTGTTGTGGTTATTCTCCTTCAGAGAATCGCTGGAGGTTTTGAGATATGACAAAGAGCACACCATCTCTTTCAATATGTCTCATTTATCCTTTCACGTGTTAATTTGGTTCTTCAGTGCTACTTTGGAGATCCGTGGGAACCTACTACAAAACCACATCCTGCTAGCAGCCAACTTTATGCAGCAGGTTTTACACTGCTTAAGATTTCAGCAGTTTCAACTTGAGTGCCTTCAGAGCTGCTTTGGGGGCGGCTGGGACATGAAGCATCCAGAAAAGGTGCAGGATTAAAGCCCAAAGCAGCACCATGGGACCCATGGTGGTCTTTAGCCCCTTCTGCAGTACATTCCCACCTGAATGAGGCTCTGGGCACCTACTGACCCTGCTCTCACCGCATTTTGGGATGCTGCTGACTACAGGGGCATGTTCACAGCAGGGTCCCTGTGTTTCTGAGGCTCACAGCTGCTCTGGGACAGGGCAGGCCAGGCTGGAGGAGAGTTTTCAGCATGTTTGTCCTGTGCATCAAGCTTGCTGTTTCTGGGGTCAGCTCTAATCATCACAGCTCCAGGCAACTAACAGCCAGGGGAACCCCCGGTGCACCACAGATTTTGTTCCCAAAGCTGTGCTTGGCTCCCACTCAAGTTAAAACATTTGGCAAATTAGGATGTTGGAAAATTAGGAAGAAAACCCCACTTCACAGTG